TCTCCCATTCTGAAGGTCATTTATGAATTCTGCTGGTTATTTCCTTTGATGTACAAAATTTTTAAGCTTAATGTAGACCCACATTTATTAATTTTTGTTTTTGTTGTCTGTGCCTTTGGTTTCATATCCAAGAAATCATTGCTAATGTCCAATGTCATGAATCTTTTCCCCTATTTTCTTATAATTTTGGGTCTCACAATTAGCTCTTTAGTCCTCCATGCCCTCTTAAAGTTATTTCTGTCAATAGATGAGACATAAAAGAGATAGAGATATGTAGATCTCTCCAAAGAAAACATTTTATGTAGTGCTAGTATATGCATTTGTATTGCTAAGCCTCTGTTTTGCCTAATACATATTGTTCTTCAGGTGTCCTTTTTTTCTATTCTGTAGGGCTTCATCATTTTAATTGTTGCTTTGTATTCTATAAGAACACACCATATTTTATTTAGCGCTTTCTCTATTTTACTAGAAAGTTGTGTTTCTCTCTTTTACTAGTAAGATGTTAAGAAACATTTTCTATTTTTGGGAAATTTCAACCTAAACCTCAAAGCTGAGAAGAGTGGGGGGACAAGGATCTCCATTTTTGAAGAGAGCTGCTGGATATACCCCATGGGGTCAATCACCAGAGAGTATGACATCCTGTGACTCTCAGCCCCTATCGCCTGGGCGTAACCTGTACAATGGAGAGCCTGGGAGCCATTGCAAAAGATGCTTCAGAGGAACTCATTCAGCGAATACTTGTTGAGTGCCCACTTGACCTCCAAGTGTAGTGACAGGTTAGTTAATAACAGAGAGTCTCTGACGTTATGGGGCTGGGGATGCTTAGGCTTTTGTTGGTTCCACTCTTGGAGCCTCTGGGAGCTAGGATGTGTGAGATCACCTGGTCTGCATCTGCCACTTGTCTGGCCAGAGAGACTAAGGCTACCCAATTGCAGGTGAATTGAGGATGGCAGGACTTTGTGTGCTTGGTGGGTGAAGAAGCCTGCACTGCAGAGGGTTGCACGAGGCCTTGGGAAGGGAGTGGGCTTGAGGTCTTGAAAGGGCCCAGCCATATGCCGGTTTAACCATGGACCCCAGTAGAAAGAGGTAATGGATAAGTTGGGAGTGGGGGGTAGGAGTGGGGTACAGATAAGGGAGCCTTGACCACCCTGCAAAATGGTATGTCAGGAGGGCCCCTTGGGTAGTGGCAAAGAGCTCTTCCTATGACTCATTGTCTCATCTGTGAAGTGAGGATAATGGCATCTCTTCATGGGGTTGTTGTGAGGATAAAGTACTTTGTATATGCAAAACACTTGGCACAGTGCTTGTCAGTTACCAAGAACAGGCTGTGATGTTGTTGCAGTCTGTGTTTGGTGCCCTCTGTTGGGGAACATTCAAACTACTAGTTCTTCCTTCTATCACCAGGTGTGGCCTATCAACAGTGTCCCTGGCAGGGGGTGGTCTGCCCTGGCCGGACACCTCCCGTTCTGTCCATGGCCACAGCTCTCCAGTCTTCTATTACGCTTGGGTTTTCTATGTATTCCCACACCCCCCCCGGACAGTACTTATGACTAAATCCTCAGCTCATCCAGTTCTGTTAGTCAGGTGCCACGTATGGCCCATGGGATGGTGTCATTTCTATGATTCCAGCCTTGCAGTAGCTTCCCAGCTCACTCAGGGGACAAGGTCAAGTCCTTGCAGTGCTTTTGAGGCCTCACATAGCTTGACTTCCTGCTAAGCTCTGACCCAACATACATAAAAAATTTCCAAAAAAAATTAGTGTTTATTGCTAAACATGAACAGCCATTCTTTCTTGTCATTATTCCCTAAACAATACAGTATAACAATATTTGCATTGCATTAGATACTTAAAACATACAGGTGGCTGTGAACTGGCTGTATTAGAAGACTGTGACATATTATATTCAATATATTGTATTGAAACACTTGAGCTTTGGTTTGGGGTCTAGGGTCCTGGAACCAGTCCTTCTCAGGTACCAAGTGATAACTGCATTTAGTTACTTATCTTGTTTAATTCCCCCTCATTAGCTTGTAAGCTCTGAGGGCAGGAATTTGGGGCTGTTTTGTTCCTTGTTTTATGCCTGTGCTTGGTCTTTCTCTAGCACAGTGGACTTCCAGTAGGGATTTAAAAAAAACAAACAGAAAATTGGATATCTGCTTATATAACTTTGATCATATTTCTTGTAGACCTTATTACACAGAGATCATACACCCATCCCTAAATTAAATGGCATGGCATTGGTACGGGCGGGTATTTTTTGGACAGGACCCAAAAAGCACAAGGAAAGAAAGCAAAAATAGGCAAGTGGGACTGCATCAAACTAAATTCTGTGCAGCAAAGGAAACAGTCAACAGAGTGAAGGGACAACCTACAGAATGTGAGAAAATATTTGCAGACTATTCAACTGACAAGGGGTTAATATCCAGAATATAAGGAACTCAGAATCTCAACAGCAAAAACCAAGTTACCCAGTTAAAAATGGGCAACAGATCTCAATAGACATTCCTTAAAACATGCAAAGGGCTGACAGCATCACTCATCATCAGGGAAATGTGAAAAAAACCCACAAAGAAATAGTACCTTTCCCCAGTGAGAATAACTGTTACCAAAAACCAGAGTGCTGGTGAGGAATGTAAGTTAGGAGAGTCATTATGAGGAACAGTACAGAGATTCCTCAAAAAATTAAAAATAGAGATACTGCATGCCTCAGCAATCTCCCCTTTGGTATATATTCAAAGGAAATGAAATCGGTCTGTCCAAGAGTCTTCTGTACTGCCATGTTCATTGTAGCACTGCTCACAATAGCCAAAAATGGAAACAACCTAAGTGTCTAACAACTGATGAATGGATAAACAAAATATGGTCCATATACACAATGGAGTACCATTGAGTCACAAAAAGAATGAAATCCTATTATTTGTTACAACATGATGGAGTTGGAGATAGTTATACTAAGTGAAATAAGCCAGAAGGACAGGTACTTCATGATCTAACTCATATGTAGAATGGTAGTTAGCAGAGGTCAGGGATAGCATGTGTGTGTGTGTGTGTGTGTGTGTGTGTGTGTGTAATGTGAAGGATTGATCCATTGGTACTAAGTTGTAGTTAGAGGATCTGGGGTGTACTACACAGTAAGGTGACTATAGATAGCAATAATACTGTACATACTGAAAAGCTAAAAGAAAGGATTTTGAATGTTTTTGCCTTAAGTGATAAATGTTTGAGGTGATAGATTTGTCTAATATGATTTTACAGTTATACAGTTACATACATGTATTAAAATATTGCATAGTACTCCATAAATACATATAATCTTTGTTCTTGTGTATCTGTTAAAATAAATTTAAATTAAAAAAAGAAAGGAAAAGAAAAAGTTAAAAGTTATTCAAATAGTTGGATGTCTGCAAATGCCAAAGAAATGAAGTTTGTTAATAGTGAGAGAGAAAAACAGTAAGGGGAAGATTTATAGCAGGAGGCAAAGACAGGTGATTTGTCCTAACATCATTTTGAAATTTCTTTATATTGACGACAACATAGGATGGCATCTTTGTGCTCTGTGTACAATCAATCCTTAATAAATATGGCTAGCAGATAAGGCTAACTATATTTAATACTATTTTATTATGTGACCCTAATCCCAAATCCAAACAGAAACAGCTCAAAGTTCAATCACAAGGAGCACAGCTTTTTTCTATTTAGCACGCAGTTTAGTCTTTTTAATTAATTTAATTTTTTTTATTCTTTGGTGGTGCTGGGGGTTGAACTCAGCCTCGCACTTGCTAGGTGGATTTACCATTTGAGCCATGCCTCCAACCTCTGCTTTTGTTATTTTTGAGATAGGGTCTTGAACTTATGCCCGGGCCAGCCTCAAATTGATCTGCTGATCTCCAACTCCCGAGTAGTTAGAATTCCAGGTGTGAGGCACTGCGCCCCAGCCTCAGTGTTCAATTTAGTCTTAACACCTTTGGGATGTTTTATGTTCTTCATTGTTCAAGTACTCTGAGAATTTTAGTTTATTCTTGAAACAATATCTGCAGTAAAATTATTTTATCTGTTTCTAGCATTTGAAAACAAATATTCTAATGACATGAAAAATGATTTTTATAAGAAATTAATTTCTACAACTTCTCTGGCTTTTGACACTCCCACTCCTGAGAGAATATTTAATGCAATTGCTTCGTCAGAGTCAATCTTTCTCTTTCTCCCCACCTTTCAGTTATGAGACAACACCTCTCCATTTTAACCTTGAACAGGAATTGCTTTTAAAAAAGACATTAAAAAATCTGAAATGTTACCCACTTTTAAGGCTGTCATTGATGTCAATAAAAAACCTCTGCTGAGCCTAGTGGCTCACTCCTACAATCTTTGCTACTTGAGAGGCAACGATTGGGAGGATTGAGGGGTTCAAGATCAGTCCTATCATAAAGTTGTCCAGCTGCCATCTCAACTAATAAAAGCTGGGTGTGATGGCATGTGCCTGTCATCCCAGCTACACAGAAAGCATAATTAGGAGATGGCGATTCAGGCTGGCCTGGGCAAAAATGGTGAGACCCTCTTTAAAAAAAAACACAAAGCCAAAAGGGCTGGGGGCATGGCTCAAGTGATACAGCACTTGCCTAGCAAGTGTGAGGCACTGTGTTCAATCCCCAGTACTACCAAAATACTCAACAAAAAAAAATCCCTAAAAACCAACAAACTCAACCCCCGCCCAAAAAAAAACCCTCTGGAAAAGCAGCAATATTTCTACAATATATTGCAGATACAATAATGACCATTAAAAGTCATTACATTATGTTAGTGATAAAATAACTATTTAAAAGTAACAAAACATTTTCTATTAACCAACAATGATGGACATGACTGCCAAATACCAGTTCTAGAATAACAGAATTCTTTCCTGACTTGGAAAAGAAATGGGAAGATGAGTTTGGTTTCCCAAGAAAATGAAACCTATCTCATTGGCTGCCTGGATCCCTGGGTGTGTCTTTCAGCTGAGTGGGTTTCTTAAGCTTCTAGCATCAGCCCTCCAGAGTCACACCAGGAGCAAGACAGTGGGACCAGTTCGCTGTTATCCGGAAATCCCCTTCACTGGGTAAGGCCAGGAGGGTGGAGAGGGATTGCCCCTTCCTGATGCCCCTCCATACGCACCCAACCTTGACCTTGGGTGGGCAGTGTCCTCAGAGAGGGAAAGGGAGCAGTGTGTACCCACCTTCCACCGACCTTTTGTTCTCATTCCAGCAGCGGCAATTAGTGGGTGCTGGGAGGGAAGGGACTGCCCCTCCTCCACGCACATACTCTGGGATTTGGCAACCAGGAAACTTGTTCATGTCTGTGTTTCTCTGAAGCTCACAGGTCAGTGGGCATGAAGTGGGCAGAGGGGAGAGGAAAGTGTTAGGAGGAACAAAATCAGAGCCACCACAAGCCTGGTATTTGGAAGCAGCTGGCCTGGCTGGAGTCTTGCTTTGCTGTGGACCTTTCTGACATAGAACAAATCACTTGTCCTATGTGAGCTGGCCCCCATTTCCTCATCTATAAATGGGGACAGGATCCCAACTTTCTTCTATTATGGAAGAGGTCACAGCAAAGTGAGCACCCACAGTACCTCGGCTACAGTGTGTGCCAGACATGTCGTTGTTCCCATTTCCTAACTCTGTTGCCTCTTAAATTAATCTGTGGAGATATAAGAGAGCCACAAAAGTGTCTACAAAGTGGGGATTTTCAGGAGGTAGGAAGCAGCTTACTCAGGGAAAAATCCTTCTGGCCCTCTCCTTACCCTAATGTGGGTCCTTCCCTTACCCAAGACCTGTTCCTGCCCCCACCAGCTCAGAGCAACCTCACCACCTACTCTGGAGCCCTTCCGGGTTTTCAGGATAGTGGGCAGGAGGCCAGTTCTGAGGCCCCCATCCTCCATCAAAGCTGCACCCCTTTTGCAGGTCTGGCCTGAGTTGGGAGCCATGGAATTAGCTGGAATAAGCATGCTGAGCTCATCCCTGGCCTCCAAGATAATGGCAGCAGCGACCATGGCTCAAGCTGGTGGGGCAGCCTCTAGGGCAATGCTAGCTGGCCTTTCATCACAGGGTGAGTGCTCCTGGGAGGCATGGTGCTGGGGCAAAGGGGACAGCTAGGGAGAGCTCAGTGTCCTGTCCTCAGAGCTGCCCCATGCTCCCCAACACCTCCATGTGTCCACCATGGTGGCCTCTCAGAGAAGGGCCTGAGGGAAGCAAGCCCCTGGCATGGGCCAGGGGCTCTGGACCCCCAAGGGCTTGGATCTAGGTTCTCTGTAAGGCCCCTCCTTGCAGACATGCCTCTGGCTCCCCAAGCTCTCTCTGGCTCTCCTGTTCCCCTGGATTTGCCACCAGAATTCATCTGCTTTAGGTTTTCACATAAGTGTCCCCTTGTAAGTGAAATCTGTCTGGCAGTTTTTGCAGGCCTCCTCTCCGTGTCTCTCTCTCTCTCTTTCTTGTTGGTACTAGGACTTTGAACTCAGGACCTCATGATTGCTAGGCAGGGTCTCTACCACTTGAGTCACTCCAGCAGCCCATTTTTTTGTGTTGAGTATTTTTGAGATAAGGTCTCACGAACTATTTGCCCTGGGCTGGTGTTGAACTGCAGTCCTCCTGATCTCTTCCCCCTAAGTAGCTAGGGTTACAGGCATGAGCCACCAGCATCCGCACCTGGCTCAGGCCTCCTTTCTGGTTTTATTTACTCTTATCACTTATCTTCTCTTTCACCCCCAACTTCCTGTCTTTCAAAGTCAACATTTTTCACATATCTAATGTGTGCATGAGTTTTTCATACGAGTTTTTGCAGAATGGTTGTCATTTGCATGAGTTTTCATTTGTGCAGGAGAACATGTTGTACAGCTCATTCTGTGGCTTTTTTCACTGGAGATCGATCCATGTTAGGGGAGCTTCTGACCCTGACTTTTAACTGCTGCCAAGTGTTGCTCTATGTGAACCCACTCCACTGCCCTTTCCTCTGTTCTGAGGGAGGGTGGTGGGTCCCAGGGTTCTTCAACCTCCGTGGCACAAACAGCATAGCATAGAATGGGGGACTGGGGCCATTGAGCCTCTGCTGACCTCTGACCCTCTGCTTTGCTCTTCCCCAGGACTCACCCTGTTATCCCAGACTGCCCTGGGCCCTGCAGCAGCTACCCTTGGACCCTTGCTGGGGAAACTGAATGTTGGCGCCTTACTGCCAAGGTGCTCTGCTTCTGCCCTGGCTGCTTTGCCAGTTGGAGGTAACTGTCTCTAGGTAATTAGACACCCCTCCTTGGGCCCCTATTAAGCATGAATAAGTGTGACAAGTGGGTTAGGGTCTGGACCACACTCATCATTCCTTTCTGCTTGTCAGAAATGCACGTCTAGATCTAAAACCCATCCAAACAAAACCCAATAACAAACGTAAAAGGGGAGATTGTGGTGAATCAGAGGAGTGGGGAGGGCAAAAGGTGAGGGTTATGGGGGTGTACATGATCCATGAGTACTTTATATACACAACTTGGAAATAGAAAAATGAAACCCATTAAAATTGTAAAAAAAAAAAATGAAGGTGGGAAGGAAATAAGGAAGAATAATAGAATTGGAAGTGTGGCCTAAATGGTAGAACATTTGACTAGCAAGTGCAAGGCCCTGAGTTCAAACCTCAGTACCACCACCCCAAAAAAAAAAAAAAAAGTAATAGAAGGGGTGAATTTGACCAAAGCACCTATATACACATATGGCTATATCATAATGAAACCTCTTTGTACAATTAATATACACCAATAAAAAATAAAATGGGGGAGGGGGAAGAAATGCAGATGAATCCTCAGTTTATGATTTAACAATTCATAAGATTAAAATAACAAGGTTAGCAAAATTTTACCAAGTGCCTTTATGTCTTAGTTGCTATACCTACCCAACACTTTTTAGCAACTGGGACCATTTATCATTGTCTCAGTCCCCTGGACAGGATAGGAAGGAAATGTCTGGGTGTGGAAGGGAATGAAATGCAAAGCTGTTCCAACAGTAGGGAACAGGGTGGGAGGAGGCGTACTGGGCAGATTCTGGCTGGAAGGCCAACCCCACCCCTCTCTGCCCCTTCCTCCTCAGTTCTCAGTTGACTGAGTTCAGCAGAAAAGGCCTTTCCTGTGGGCCTGCATCAGGGTATACCAAGCTGCCAGCTAGACTGGTGCTACCTCTTCTGCTTATAAATAAAGTTGACCAGCAAATGCCTTCAAGCCAAGCTCCCGATTCTTAAGTCCCTGGATCCATACCCTATCCAGAAAGCCCCCTAGCCACTCAGAGTTTGACCTTCCAAAGCCTGTGTCTCCTTTCTCCGCTGTCACCCTTTCTGTCACTGTCACTGTCACACCCTCACCCTGGAATGCTGACTAAGTTCACTGCTTTGCAAGCTACCTTTGGAACTCCTGGCCCCTATTGAGGCAGGCCAGGACATAAAAGAAATAGGGACTCTTGTCCTGCCTGGATGCTTCCATGCATCAGAGATTTCATGAGAATAAAACACTATGGCTTCAGGGGACTAGGACTTCTGCCTGCCCGCAGGGACTCACCAGTGTTGGGAGACAAGTTCACACATACCCAAATATGGCTTGGTGCTATGGCTTCAGACACAGAGACACAGAGACTGGCAGAATCAGGGGAGGAGGCAGTCATGGTGTCAGAGGTGTCAAGAGAACTGGCATCAGACAGGTAGGAGGGTTTATGACTATCTGAGACTTTCCTGGGCCATAGAAGAGTGTCATATAACCCCTCAACTAACAAACACTGAGCCTGCTTCAGATGAACTTACTGCCCTACCCAGAGAGCACGGCACCCATCCTTGTGGCCTGTCCCTCCCTCCAGCAAACCATTGAGCCCTAAATTGTAGGCCCACTGTGCTCACTGAGAAGGGCCATCACAGCAACATGCTTTCTTAGCTGCATCCATAGGGTTTTGTTTGGCTTTTGTTTGAAACAAACCTGGCTTCAGCAGGCAGGCAGATAAACAAAGAACAAACTGTTAATGGCACTGGTGCACTCTATGATCAGAAGAATTCCAAATTCTGCATATCCCACCAGAAAGAATTCATGGGAGGACATGTGGGCATAAAGGGAGTTTATTAAAAGTTAGGTAAAAGAAATACAAAGGGAAACAGGATAGGCTTAGGTGGAAGCCAGAACCTGAGAGAGCGTGTTTCTCCCTATCAGGTGCTTTTAAAACCTATGATAAAAATGAAAAAAATAAATAAATAAAAAATAAAACCTATGATAACCTATCGGAAGGGAAGAAGGAGGAGATTCCCAGCCAATAATCAATTTTTGGGAGGTGCATGGGCAGTTTGTAGCCAGTGAGGGTGGTCTAGGCCATCCCCGGGCAACCTACATGTACCCCAAATTCTTCCTGCTTCTAGCCTGCCTCAGAACCAAACCTATATCAGATATTTGAATTTTCTGGAGCCAGGACCCCAATCTCAAGGCAGATAAACTTATTCGGGCCAGGGTCTCTGTCTCTAATTCAGACTCCCCAGCAGTCCCCACTTTCTTCAGAAGGCCTGCTTCTCTGAGTGACATAGGGAAGTGCCAGTAGGGGTCATTCCTTCCTGTGAACCTGCCTTGGGCTGCTTTTCCTCATAGGTGGACAGGTGGCTGGGATGGAGGGTGGTATGGACTCAGTACCAGTGGATGGGGTGTACCTAGGTTCTTCATGTACAACATCAAAGATTAAGACACTGCCCCAGGTGCAGCCAAAGAACCACAGAGTAGGAAAACAGCAAGGAATGATTTATTAGCAACACAAAGTACACCTGGAGATGGGAGGCAGGCGGTTTGGATAAGGGCTGACTGCTCTGAAGTTGTTGGGGCTTGGGGTTTTAATATCCAATAGGGTAAGGTAACTAAGTGGTGCAAAACTAGGGCCCTCCCTATGTGGCCATCCCCAAATGTTTGGCAGCTGTGTCAGTGGTTGCCTGGATGTGAGAAGCCATACCCAGGCTTTTGGAGAAGATGAGGGCAGGGGTCTGCACATTTGATCCTTTTTGTCCTAGTTTAGCCCTTTCCAGAATGTAGTGATCATACTTATAGGCCCATACTTAACCCTGATCTGGGGAATATGCTAGATTAGCCTGGGGTTTCTTTGTTTCTGCTTCTACCTAGCTGCTATGTTAACTGATCCTCTCACAAAATGTTCTCTTTTTTTTCTAGCCAAGGCTGCTACAGTTGCATTGGGAGGAGGTAAGTCTCTGCATAGAAGTGATTCCTGCCTCTGCACACAGGGACCTGGGAGCAACTGGTTTCCCTAGAGCCTGATGGAGATGATGATGGAGAGGAAGGTAGCCAGAAATAAGGATCCAAAAATAAGACACAAGGAACTTGGACACAAGGAGAGAGTGTCATGTACAAGTAGGGGTGGCAACACCCTCTGCAGGGGCCCATATCCCCTTTTCAGAGCACTTACTGTGTGACCTCAGGCATGTCTCTGAACTCCTGGGCTCTTATTTCCTCCCCAACCCTGATAAACAGGCCAGTAATTCCTACCCAGGGTTTTTAAGGTGGGTACATTGGATGTGACATACACTAGGTATACCACACAGGTGCCATTGGCTCAGTGGCACCACTGTGCTCTGGGGAGATACAGCAGGGCCCTTGAGCTGCCTGCTCAAGCAGCTGGTTGTCTTTGCCTGCAGTACATCTTGTGTAAGACATCCTCCTGTATAAACATTTGCTCCCCAGAAAGACACAAAGCTCAACACTTGTCCAAGCATTAGACAGATCTAGGCTTGGACAAGCAACTTTCCCAAAGAATGTCTTGCTACCAATCATATACTGTTCCTGTCCCCAGTGACCCCAGTTCCTTTCTCCCCTTTCTCCACCTGGCCAGTGCCCTGGTCTCTCCCAAACTCAGAGCCTATCTCCTGTTTCACCCTCTAGCTTATCTCTCTGAGTTTCTCTGAGGGAGGTAAAGGAGGAAGGGAAGGAGCTGTGGCGTGGGGCGTGCTGGGTTCAGGCCAGCTTTCTTGGGGCATCTCCTCCATCCTGGAGTTCAACCATTCCTATAGAGTGGAGCAGCATCCAGCTGGATTCACCACTGGAATTCGTGTCATGGGCAACCTGCCTACAGTAGCCCTTCTGCCAGATCCTCGGGGGTGGTTAGGAAGCAGGGGGTACTGTGGAGTCTCGAGCCCTGCTATGAGGCCCTGGAATCTCTGGCCCTGTAGTTCTGTCCCTTAGAGGTGCCATCCTATCCTACTGTGCTCACCCTTTCCTCCAGACTCCATGAGGTTCCCCAGGTTAGAACCAGTGTCGGTGTCTGTGTCTCTGTGTGTGTGGGGGGCGTCACTTCCCCTGAGCCCAACCCAACCCAGCTCTTCTTCTCAAAGCCATGGCAGTGGGGGCTGTGCCTGTGGTGCTGGGTGCCATGGGCTTCACTGGGGCAGGAATCGCTGCCTCGTCCATAGCAGCCAAGATGATGTCGGCAGCGGCTATTGCCAATGGTGGTGGAGTTGCAGCGGGCAGCCTGGTGGCCACTCTTCAGTCAGTGGGTGAGTGTTGGGATGGGAGGACCAGAGTCAGGCAAAGGCCCAACCCTGATCTTAGCCCCGGGCCCCTCAGTCTTTCTTCCTGTCTCACCCTCTACCTTCTCGTTCCTGGTTTCTTTGGGAGAGGTAGAGGAGGGAGCCCTACCTGAGGCCTGCTGGGTTCAGGCCAGCTTACTTGGGGCATTTTCCCCATCTTGGAGGTCAGCCTGCTTCCCAACAGAGCAAGGCTGCTTCCAGCTGGCTTCTTCACTGGAGTTCTTGCTCTGGGGGCCTTGGCTCTGACCCTCTGTCCTCTTGAGGTGCTCAGGCCTGTTCCATTTGTTCACTCTGTGCTTTTTCTGTAGGAGCCACTGGACTCTCTTTGTCATCCAAAGCCCTTGTGGGCAGCATAGGGTCTGCCCTTGTGGCCCGTGTGGTGGGCCTCTAAGAGCTGCATTACCATGTCCTGCAAAGAAGAGGACTGCCACACACCTGGCCTTACCCATGGAGGGACCGGTCTTGGTGGAATAATCCACCAAATGCTTCCCCACCAAGGGGAAAATAAAATAAAAATGATTTCTTGCAAGCTCCCTTGAGCCTTTCTGTCCTGTTTGCAATGGTTGGGAAAGGCCCAGCAGGGACCTCTCTGATACTGGGGTGGGGAGGGGACATGTTAGACCCAACTTTTTCTCTCACCATGTCATCACAGAGTGACATGGTATGAGTATGTGCTGAGCTAGAATGAATTTAAATGTGAAGACAGAAGCTTCCCCTTCCCTGCTATGTAACTCCAGGCAGGTCACCTCCTCCCCAGGCCTCTGTTTGTCCCTCCCTAAGTGGAGAGTTGAACTAAATGACTCCCAGATTCCCACCAGTTGGGTCTTTGGCTCAGTTCCTGTGAAGAGTCAGGAAGGGGTTTGGGGTAGGGGGAGCAGCATCCTGTTTTGAGCCACTGACCTCAAAGCCAGAGCCTCATGTCCTTGCACTGGTTCTACCCCAGCCTCTATGCACACAGTGGCTATTTCTCTAGTGGGCTGACTCAGGCTCAGAAGTGTCACTGGGCCAAACCAAAGTCAAAGTTCATTCCCTAGCCGTGCATGCCTTTTCCCCCAACAACCAGCAAGAAAATTTGATTTGCCAGGTGGCTCTGACTTTTTTGCTTCAGACCCCAGTTCTGAAATGTCTTTCCCCTCCCAGCACAAGGCCTTCTACAGTCTTCTAGAACTGGGTCAGTTCTAGAACATCAGAAACTTAGCTCCCACAATGACCCCTCTGTTGTCCAAACACCTTTGATGCAGGGGCTGTGGTCAGACTGTATGCTAGGTACAGAGGAGACATGCCTGGGTAGAAGAAGTAGACATCTAGGCAGCCTTGAGGCATAGAGGTAGGTTTTAAGGGCCTAGTTGACCCCACCCTTGCCCTCTCCCTGTGGTCACTCGTCAGTCTCTGCTGTTGACTCCCATCCCAGGGTCTGCTCAGGAAGTCCATAGGCAGACTGGAAGTGTTGAGATGTTCCCTCTCTCTCTCAGGATTTCCCTCAGCCAGGAAGGATGGGAGTTAGAGGATAAATACCCCTCAGTGGGACAATTCTGGCCACTTCCACATGGCCTCCATAGCCTCAGCTGCTATGATTAATCTTGATTGTCAACTTGATTGGATTGAAAAGCATCTAGATTAGTACAGAACACTGTATGTAAGTCTGTGAGGCATTTCCAGAGAGGATTAACTGAGGAGGAAGACTGGCCTGATGTAGGCAGCGCCATCCCATTGAGGGGACCTGGGGGTGCCCAGATAGAATAAAAGATGAAGAAAAGAGAAAGCCCACTAGGACATGCCTTTTCTCTCTGTTTCTTGGCTGCTATAATATAAGCTGCCCTGCAACACACTCCCTGCCATAATGGACTTAAATCATGAGCCAAAAAAAAAAAACTTTCCTAAAATTGTTTGCAATTTTATCCAAACAATTTTACCACAGTTTATGAAAGTCTGATTAATATAGCTGTCCACAGTGCAACTCCCTCTTTGACAGACCCTTTCTTGGCTGTCGGCCTGTCCCTGTTCCTTCCTCATTCCCTCATTGGTGCTTCTTGGCCTCGCCTCTGTAAGGTACACAGATGAGGTGCACTCTAGAGATAAGTACACTGTTACTTAGTACATGTGCAGTAGATGTAATAATCTGGCTACTTGCTGCTTTTATTTATATTGGTATAAAACTCGCTGCACTGAGCACTGATTCCTGCTGTTGCTGTTGCTGCTGCTGATGGGGGCTGACTGGGTGGCTGATGACTGCAATGGATAATAAAGCAATATAAACTCCCTCCTGCTTGAGCTCTGGTCTGCATGAATTAAAGGACCTGTCTACTTGAAGCAAGGTATTTGATTCACAGCCTCCCAAATGAACAATTTGCACTGGAATTGTCTCAATGTCTCAACCTAAGCCAGCTTCCTACCCTCTTCTCAGTGCCCACGCAGGTCCCAACTGGGCTGATCACTGTATCAAATTGTTTTTGATATCTGGCTGTGTGGTGGCCTTACCCAGCCCCTTCCCTTACAGGATAAGGGTCACCATCTCTGCAGAGTGATCCACCTGCTCATGACCCCAAGCTGGCTGGGATCTGTCAGAAAGCCAGCAGAGAACACAGCTCAGCTTTGAGGCTGGCCCTCTACTTGGCTTGTTTGGACTATGCCATGCACCAAGGCAGCAGCCATGGGGCAAATCACTGACAGTGGACACAGTCCTTCAATCTTTGCAATTTGTCTAGGGAAAGCCTGGCTCAATTTTGGTTTTAAATGTTTCTTGTCAAATCCCTATTACCCAAGAGAGTTTGGCTGGGACTGGCCCCCAAATGGTTAAAATGAAATGGTTAACAACTTAGCCAGAGGGAAGCCATTAATCAGGTGTAGAGGGGAGCTATTAATCAGGTGCTGTTTTTAATTTCCTTGCTGAGGGAGGTTTAGGAGGGAGTCTGGTTCTCATAAAGTTAAAAGAACAGAAGGAACCAAACTAGGATATGGTCAAATGATTGTGTGGATTGTGTTGATTGTGATCATTCATACTCGTAGATAATAACCATTGTCTCATTTCTGTACCTGAGCAAATAGCCATTGTCTCGCTTCTGTATCCAGGCTTGCTTGCTTCGCAAAGATTGCCAGGGATTTTTGCCTTATAAATCCTGCTAAAAGTTGGAACAGGGCTGCTGTCTGAGACTCAACAACCTGTTGGTCAGAGCAGTCAACAGCTGGCTAATAAAGACTCTTTTTAAAAATCTTTCTTGGATGGTTGTGCCTCAGTTGACTTGTAACAAAAATTGAACAACTCTGTATCCCCTATACCCACTCCTAAGCCTCGTCATCAGTTTGAAATTGTGTGATTGTGAAAGTAAATTTACCTTTCTGAACACATGCTGGTGTCCTGAGGAGGCAGCTGGGACACAGTGAGTTGGCTGGGAACCAGCTTACCGGTCCAGATCCTCTGAAAATAACCCACCAAGTAAATCAAACTCAGCCTCTGGCCACAAGCCATCTGCATGAGCAGTAGCAGCATTGTACCCAAATGATACTTAAGATCAGTTCTTACAAGTTCTTTAACAGCATGCACAGAATAGAGTCAGTGTCATCGCCTTTCCTGGAACAGCAAGATGATTTTATGTTCTGTGCTCAACCACAGTGTATATTTTTAAATGTCATTTATTTTGATCCTCTTGTTGTAGTGCTTCTGGGATTTCTCTATGGCTGTCTAGGGTGCTCTTGAGGCTCGGAAGTTGCTGTGGGGACTCAGGAGGACAGAGTGCAGGGTTCTCAGGACACAGAGCCCTTCTCCTTCCTTCAGTCTAAGCACTATGGAAGTCATGCCACCTCCACGCACATCCCTCCTGTGCCCCCTACGCTGCCCTCAGCTCAGGACTTCTTTCTGTGCCCACTGTTTTCTATGACTTTAGAGAAACCACTTTGGTCCCTTATGTCTCCAGGTGGGTGGGAAGAAGGGACTGGCTGCTGCTGGGGGCAAAAGAAGGGAGCAGATCAGAAGCAGAGGAGTGGGGCTTACACTGCTTCCCTTTCATGTCAGAACCTTCCTGGATGTCCATGACAGACAGGCTCTGCCAAAGGGATGCTCTTGTCAGCCCTGGTACCAGACTGTGATCTATCTGAGCCCTTCCAAGGGCAACCTCTTTCTTACCTGTGAGTGGTCTTAAAAGACTCTGTTCAAGAAGATCTGAGGTCCTTGGCATCCCAAAGAGTTGGGTGGAGACACACAGATTACAAAACAGCAGCAAAGTTTTATGGAAAGTGAAAGCAGAAAGTACACTCCAAAAGAGGAAGCTGGTTAGGCTCTGAGTGAGGGGGCTAAGAGCGGCTCCTGTGGCTCAAGAGCACTGGTGCCTTGGTTTGGGTAGGTATTTATACTCTACAAAGGGTGAGCAAAGGAGGAAATCTGGGTGGTTCTTAGGAGTGGCTTTTGGTGATTCACAGACTTGATTGACAGAGCTAGTTACATAACTCTAAAACTACACGTGTGACTATCTAGAATTCACTCTATTATAATTGTATTCATAGGGCTATAATTACAGAATCTGGAACAACAGGTTACTTTGGGGCAAGCTTGTCCCCTTGTGCACATGCCCCAGTTTGGGTAAATCCCTGTAGTCAAGCATCCCACCCACACAAGATGCTGTAGTTAGTTGGTGCTGTAGTTTTTAACAACAAAAGGGGTATTTGGAAGAGCTTCTGGGTAGAGTAAGGGCATCTGTTCCCCAGGAGATGATCTGTGAGGGTTCCACCTGTTCCCTGTGACCTGTTTTTGGGTGCTTTCCCTAAATTTCCTGCCTTACCTTTGCTGGGAATCTGAATGGAAACATTTCTTTTCCTGGGCTGATAAGATCCTAGAGAGATCTTCACACACGTACCCCTGTTATCATATGAGAGCATACCGTAAGTGCATACTCCATGTGTGTTCCACGTGTCCTACCACTCTTGGTGTTGTCTGGTTTTTAAACTTTAGGCTCTTTAAGTGGTATGAATACTTTTCATTGTGCTTTTAATCTGTATTTTCACAATGACAGGGAATGATAGAACTCTGTTTATTTAGACCTTCCACCATTTCTCTTGGTTGTGATTTTCAGTGTATAGTGTCTTACACATTTATTTTTACATTTATTCCTAAATACTTAAGTGTTTTGATATATTGTGAAAGAAATTGCTGTTTAAATTTAAATTTCAAGCTGTTTGCTGCTAGCATATGAAATATGACTGATTTGCATATGTTTACATTAAATTTTGTGACCTTGCTAAGTTCATTTAATAATTCTAGTACAGTGATTGTTTTGTAACTTTCTTAGCATTTTCTATGTAAACAATCACACCTCCTGGAAAAGTTTTATTTCTTCCTTTCTTGCCTCAATATCTTTCTTCTTTACTTGTCTATGACATCCTAGAACTTCCAGTGCAGTGCTCACCAGAAGAGATGAGAGTATGTCTTTGTCCTGCCTCTGGTATCAGGGGAAAAGTGCTAAATAAGAGTAGTTATAGTAGCTTCATAAACACTACTTCATTGGAATTTTCTGCGAATTTTATTATGAAT